CAACTTTTAATTTTAAACCCACGGGCAGATATATAAATGATATATGTACATCCTTGTACAGAACAAATATTGATAGCTCACTTTAAAAATGAACTTTAGTTCCGTTAATAGCCAGGAAGATGTGTTCCAGTAATGGATAAGAATGTTCAAGTAGGAGTAGAAGCAAGTAGAGTGAATCTTCAAGATTCTAGAACACTCTGTAGGATACCTAATGGGTTCCAAAGAACAATGGCATTTGTTCCAACTCAAACAGATGCCCATTGGTGACTCATCAATGGTTGGTTGTTCATTCCCCTTGATTTGAAACAAACTTCTAGGGAACAGGGTTCATTTCTTCTGAATGTGCTACACCACAATCGTTACACCGTAGTGCCCGATTGAAAGAACAGACAAAACCCACCAACTACAGCATCAGCTTGACTCCAACTTGAAGAGAACTTCAAGCTTTCTATCACACTTCGATTACTGGTGTCCTCTCTCTCACATTGAAGAAAGGCAGAAAACAAACAAAATGACCAGACAGAGGCAGAATCTTGGCTAACAGCCCGTGTGAAGGCTACTGTAGAGAGACCTCCTTTACCAGACTTGGAGCTACTTGTTTGCTGCCCTTTGAGCTGCTAACTAAAAGCTTCTGGAAAAATATAGGAGTAGACATCCCATAATAATGCCAACACAAGTATAACAGGGAAAGCTGACCCGTGAACACCTTATTTGTCAAATTAAAAAAATTGACAGAATTAATGATACATTTTTCAGCTGCAACTCATTTAGAAGAATTTGAATCTTGAACATTAAAAGGTTACAACTATACTCTTAATGTCTATTTGTAGGGGGAGGGACTGCGATTGTTATTTGATTTTCAGACCATTGTTTTTAGATATAAAATTGTCCCTTTAAATTTTGTTAAAATCAATCTACTTAAAACGGTTCACCTAGTGCTGGAAAAGGACGGCAGCTTCAGCATCAAACTCCAGAACAATTTCAGGAGTTATGTGTTCTGGAAAACTATCCACCCAGCAAACTATGGATTAAGTCAGTGCCATAAATTCATTCACTAAAAATTTAGTCTATTGATTATTGGTATTACTGTAGTCTATTGATTATTGTTTTAACAGAAAGTAAAGGGGGAGGGGCACCTGGGTGGCTCAGGAGTCTGGACTCTTGATTTCCGCTCAGATCTTGATCTCAGGGTTGTGAGTTCAAGCCCTGTAGCAGGGCCAGCCCTGCACATTTGGCACAGGTTCTCTCAATGGTAACATTAACAGCAACAAAAAGGAAGTAATGGGAAAACGATATTCAAAATACCTTTATAACAAACTTTGCTGAAGTGTCCCATATTATTAATTAATTAATACATTACAAATACAAATAATACACAGGAGTGTCCTGTATATGACCTATCAGTTAACTCGGGCTAAATAAGGAAACCCTTTTCTTATAAATGCTCATTGGAACATAAATAAAGGTTCCGATGTTGTAGGACTGACTGTAGAGATAATGTCTGTTGGTTTAAATAGAACCAGAAGCTGTTTCATCTGTGAAGGTGTTGCCTGAGGCTTCTGTCTTGCTCAGACTGCTCAGATTATCTGAATGTCCATAAAATTGAGAATGGTATGTCTTACTGATAAGCAATAACGGAACTATTAAATCAAGGCGCTCTCTGGTCAAACCTATGATTATATTGGATCAAGAAAATGTGACCATGACTTTAATTAATGTTTTGGCTTAATAGCTGTTTCTTACTTACAGAAATCAGAATAAGTGCATTCTTTATTTTGTTTGTTTTTTAAGATTTTATTTATTTATTTGACAGAGAGAGAGAGAAAGAGATCACAAGTAGGCAGAGAGGCAGGCAGAGAGAGAGGGGGAAGCAGGCTCGCCGCTGAGCAAAGAGCCCGATGCAGGGTTCGATTCCAGGACCCTGAGATCATGACCTGAGCCAAAGGCAGAGGCTTAACCCACTGAGCCATGCAGGCGCCGCAGAATAAGTACATTCCTGACCTGTGATAGCTACAACACGCAGCTGTAGTTAGCATTTCTCAGTTACAATTTTTGCATTCACAGAGAAGTGACAGAGTGGGGAAAAACAAAACAAAACAAAACAAACATGTGCATGCACATGTTAAAATCTAAAGACTTACTGACTAATCCCATATCCAGCGAATCACACATCAATGGCCAGATCACTAAACTGCCAATGCCAGGCCCATAAGATTAGGAAGCAGGGATTCTTGAGTAGTTACCCCAGGAAGGCACTTGAAAGGATTGTGAATGGCCTGGATTCTAATTGAAATTTTAACCCGCTGGGGGCAATTTTGAGTTGTTTTGTTTTGAAAGTCTCTCGAGGATATTTAAAAGAGCCTTCCAGAATAGTTTCATTTGTATCAAGCCCAAAGGCAAAAATCATTAAGAGCATTAGGATCATGGATAAAATTCAAGACTATCAATCAAAGTGCACTGTAAAATATAACAACCTATAAAAAGTGAAAAGCAAATAATTATTGAAAATTATGGGGGTGCCTGGGTGGCTCAGTCATAAGGCGTTTGTCTGCCTTTGGCTCAGGTCATGATCCCAGGGTCCTGGGATCGAGCCCTACATCAGGCTCCCTGCTCAGCAGGAAGCCTGCTTCTCCCTCTCCCACTTCCCTTGCTTGTGTTCTCCCTTGCAGTCTCTCTCTCTCTCTCTGTCAAATAAATAAATAAAATCTTAAAAAAAGAAAGAAAATTATGTACACTGGTTTAAAGGTTAGTTCCAATAAAACCAGGTTCTAACCTCAACCCCAAAGAAAAGAATCACAGAGATCTCCCAAGACAGGCGGCTGTTAATTAATCAGACAGGAAATACATGAGGATGTACCCAGTTCCACTAGGGAGGTAATTCTAATAGAAGCCTATTGAAAAGTCCAAACAAACAAAGAGACAAAATTTACTTATTTCAGGCTCTGGTTAGAAAGGATTCTGTGAACACTGTGAGGAATTAAAGCAAGATGACACTAATTTAATGAATATTCATCGAGCACTCGCTACATGTTGGGCTCTGAAGATACAAAATTAATTAAAACATAATCCTTGACCTCAAGGAGTCTGCAGCCTAGTGAGAAAGGCAGAATTATAAACCAAATATTTTTACTGGAGCACAGAGGAGGGAAGAACATGAACAAGTCACATTAATTTTCTGGATTTCAGTAATGAGAAATGAAATGTAACACGACATTCTGGCATGAATAAGTGGGTGGACAGAGATGTCACTCACTGAAGAAGAAAGATGACAAGTTCAGTTCCACATAAAGTTCTGGAAACTAGCTTAAATGGAGGTCAAGAATTCAAAAAGTGGGATGGCTGGGAGATGGGGGCTTGAGCATCACTAGCATGAAGGCACGACTGAAATAATGGAAACAGATGATCTTTCCTAGTGAGTATAAGAGGGTCAAGGACAGAACACTTCAGGGCAGTTAGCATTTAGGACAGTAATTCCCAACCTTGGCTGTATGTAGGAACAGAGTGGGAAAATTTAGAAGATACTGATGCCTGGGTCTCATCCCAAGAGACCTGATTTAACTGGTCTGGAGAGGGTCTGAGCACTGGGATTTTACAAAGTTACCCAAGTCATTCTAATATGGAGCCAGGATTGAGAACTACTCATCTATGGGACGGTACAGGAAAAGTAACAAAAAGATGGTATTTGGGATGCCATAGGAGGGGTCTTCCAGAAACACGAACCTGCCAACCACATTGAAAATTACAGTAAGGCTGATAACGTAGAGACTAAAATGTTTCTGATACAAATAATGACTGAGGAGATTAGGAAGGCCCATTCCAGTAGGGCAGGGGATGTCAGAGCCAGATGCTACAAACTCAGTGTATGCAGGTGGGGCAGAAATCAATCCAGCGCAATGAATACCAAACATGCTTTCAAGAAGTCTGGCTGTGAAGGGAAGAGAGAGGCCATGGCTAAGAGATAAGCACACTGGAGAAGGAATTTTTTTTTTTTTTAATGTTTTTAAAGATTTCATTATTTATGTAGACTGAGGGACGGCACTAGCAGAGAGAGGGGTAGAGAGAGACAGAGACAAAGCCAGAGACAGAGAATGAGAAAGAAGAGAAGGAATGAATATTTGGTGGACCAGCTCCTGGGGGTAGATGAAAGCTATGCAAACACAGATAAAATCTTATATTTTTGCCCCACCCCCACTTTTTCGGGGCCCAAGAAATGCCAAGATCTAAATGTTTTCTTTTGGTACTAGTGTTTTCACAATGCAATTCTAAAGTAAATTCTCAATAAACCTATTTTGAATTGAAAGAGGTATATGTCCCTCTAATTTATCTCAAATTTAAATAAAAACTTCGGTTCTAATCTGTAAGCACAAAACAATTTCATACTATTAAAGGGAGCCCAATGACATATGAAACAATAAAAAATATGACTGCTTCTCTTAGACCTGATAAAATAGTTTAAATAATTTCAATACTACAGCTTTGCCAAATGCAATTCAAGTAAGTCTCTGATTTTTGAAGCTGAATCATAAATTACACGTTGTACCCTGACAAAATTGCCATTTCGTGGCATTTGCATCAAACCCATTATCTTGTGTTCTGTTGCCTAGTTACGGGAATTCTGAAGTTTAATGCATTTTAGACGGATATTTAAATTTCACACAGAATTTCAGCTATGCAGTCTGCAGAAAGAGGAACAGTTGGACACATCTGCTTCCTTAAATTTCCAAAGGAAACTTCTTTGTTTACACAGGCTCAGACCTGCTAGGTTTTCCGGCAGGGTGCATTCATTTTCAATGGAGGACATTCAATACCACACTTTGAGACACAACGAAATTATACTTGTTTTCTGGTTTTGTTTTTGTTTTTACTACGGGCACAGAGAAAAGAAAATCTTTCCTTTGCCTATCTGTTTAAGGCTTGAAAACTGTGAAGTCCTGCTTTGTTGGTAGAATTCTGCATATAACACATACACAGGCAGGCCTCTCTATAGTGGCTTTACTTACCTGTTCCCAGGTGAACACATGTTGATTGAAATAATACTGAATTTGTTCATTTGCAATATTAATGCACAGCTGCTCAAAGGAATTTTTTTTGAAATTTTCGAAGCCAAATATATCCAGAATACCGATGCTTAGTTCATCACCATTCTCACTGGAAAATTAAAGAGGCAGGATTTTGAGTTCTTACTTACTTTCTCAAGAGGGAATGTATAGTGGGGTATCTTCAAGGATACTTTTGTGATTTGGCTAAGAAACTACTACCAAGGGCGCCTGGGTGGCTCAGTGGGTTAAGCCTCTGCCTTCGGCTCAGGTCATGATCTCAGGGTCCTGGGATCGAGGCCCGCATCGGGCTCTCTGCTCGGTGGGGAGCCTGCTTTCTCCTCTTTCTCTCTATGCCTGCCTCTCTGCATACTTGTGATCTCTCTGTTTCAAATAAATAAAATCTTTAAAAAAAAAAAAAAGAAAAGAAACTACTACCAAGACAGAGAGTGAAAATTTCTCCAATGAATATAAAGTAGGTAGCATTAACTTTAATATATAAAAGATACACAATTTGCCTTGTACTACAGACACAGCTCCTTCACTTTCTCCTGGAGGTTCACGGGTGTAAGATCATAGCCCTAAGTCCTGAATCATAGGGAAAACCTGGCCAGCACTCCGAACACAGCAAAAATATGTTCAGTAAAAATTAGAGCAGAAAAGTGAAAATTCTGTGTAAGAGTATCTTTAGTCTTCCACTTTAGGACAATTAAAACATGTTGCTAAAAATATTTACCTCTTTTAAAGAATATTTACTTTTGAGTTATTCATTCATAATAATTTAATATAGAATAAACAGTAACCTGGAGAAAGATACAAATATATTTGGGTTTATTTTATAATCAAATACTTTAAAATGCAGTTAAATATTATTTTATTATTTTTTTTAAAAAGATTTTATTTATCTGAGAGAGAGTGAGAGAGAGGGAGAGCATGAGCAGGGTGAGGGGCCAGACTCTCTGCTGAGCGGGGAGCCAGACCTGGGGCAATCCCAGGACTCCAGGATCTTGACTTCAGCCAAAGGCAGATCCTTAACCAACTGAGCCACCCAGGCACCCTAAATAACTATTTTATAATTAACTATTCCAAATGCATGCTTTTCCTGTTCCTCCATAATAATTAATTCCTCTCTGTTCATTAAAAGTTAGATACTTGGTCAAAAGTTTACCCCTCCCCCAAGAAATATATGTACTGCAAAGTTACTTTCATGTCAATTTAAAAAGGAGAGAATTAGAGGTGCCTGGGTGGCTCTGCAGGTTGAGCGTCAAGACTCTTGGTTTTATCTCAGGTCTTAATCTCAGGGTCATGAGTTCAAATCCAGTGTGGAGCCTACTTGAAAAAAAATTGAGAGTATAAACATCTCTCTGTATTCACTATTTACGTAACCTAGGTTAACTCTTGGTGCTGTGTGAGGAAGTGATTTGGAAATGATTGTTGTCAGCTGCACGCTGAGAAGTGAAATATATTATCTGTATTTAGAAGAACTGACTGAACTTAGAATGCGAACCTCCAGGACCCTGTGACGGGATGGACTAACGGAAAGCTATCCAAGTACTATTTATGAAGAGTGAGTATAAATTTTTGCTGGTTTAGTCAAAATTATCATTCTTTAAAAAAACTGTTGTCCCACAGGATCCCACCGAGATAGATATTTAACTTGTCTAATAATGTGTTAGAACCAGAAGGACCTTGGAGTTGACCTTGTTCAGGGATTCTTAAACTGGGATCTGCTAATGGCCATCAAGGGTCTGAAGTCACCATCACGTGCCATATTTTGGTGGGTAGGTGTCCATTTTTTATTTTGGAGTGAAGAATGTAGTTTTCAAGAGATTCTTAAAAGGCTCCAAGTTACCTGCCAACAATTAAGACCACTGACTTGTCATTCCACGCCTTTACTGAACAGGCTGAAGAAGACAGATGCACAGAAAGGCAGTGACTTGCCCAGGGCTGCACAACAAGTTAGCGGCAGAGTCTGGCACAGAATGCAGGCTCTTCGAAATCTTAAATGTAAATCTTTCCAGAGTGAACTAAACTATTTGAATGGTCCTATTTTAGTTTCTTAAACATTCTGTAAAAAAATTAAAAAATGGGCAGAAGATCTGAACAGACACTTCTCCAATGAAGACATCCAAATGGCTATCAGACACATGAAAAAATGTTCATCATCACTAGCCATCAGGGAGATTCAAATGAAAACCACATTGAGATACCACCTTACACCAGTTAGAATGGCCAAAATTAGCAAGACAGGAAACAACTTGTGTTGGAGGGGATGTGGAGAAAGGGGAGCCCTCTTACACTGTTGGTGGGAATGCAAGTTGGTGCAGCCACTTTGGAGAACAGTGTGGAGATTCCTCAAGAAATTAAAAATAGAGCTTCCCTATGACCCTGCAATCGCACTACTGGGTATTTACCCCAAAGATACAGATGTAGTGAAAAGAAGGGCCATCTGTACCCCAATGTTTATAGCAGCAATGGCAACGGTCGCCAAACTGTGGAAAGAACCAAGATGCCCTTCAACGGATGAATGGATAAGGAAGATCTGGTCCATATATACAATAGAGTATTATGCCTCCATCAGAAAGGATGAATACCCAACTTTTGTAGCAACATGGATGGGACTGGAAGAGATTATGCTGAGTGAAATAAGTCAAGCAGAAAGAGTCAATTATCATATGGTTTCACTTATTTGTGGAGCATAACAAATAACATGGGGGACATGGGGAGATGGAGAGGAGAAGGGAGTTGAGGGAAATTGGAAGGGGAGGTGAACCATGAGAGACTATGGACTCTGAAAAACAACCTGAAGGTCTTGAAGGGGCAGGGGGTGGGAGGTTGGGGGAACAAGGTGGTGGGTATTAGGGAGGGCACATATTGCATGGAGCACTGGGTGTGGTGCAAAAACAATGAATACTGTTACACTGAAAAGAAATTAAAAAAAATAAAAAAAATTAAAAAAAAAATCTAAGATTTGGATAGCTTCCTTTATTGTAGGGAAAGGAAAGTGACTAAGGAGTGACTAGGCTCTAGCCGAATTTTCAGCAGATCGCCTGTTTGGGTTGTACTCTTCCGGGTACCAATGAGGGGCCAGATGTACAGATGGTAACTAGCACAGCGAGGCTGTCTGTGGAATATACCAATACTGAAAATTCTCAAATGTTTCCATTTTTCACTTGAAAGTGTGACATCCTACAGATGGCTACACATGAACATACAAACTATCTTGACCGTTAAATCCTAATGGGCAAATTGGATTTGATTTGCAGACCCAGTCAGATAGGCTACAGGGAGGCAAGAAGCAATTCTGAGGGATCCAGAGTTGAGAACAGGGAGGAATAATGGACAGTCTCTCAGGCGTTTTGGATAATATTATGGTGTGGTACGTATTTTAGCAGAAACATGAGAGTGAGTTACTCATCTGAAATGTGTATAAAATGGTCTTTTATGCTTAGCAAGCAAATGTGAGCAAGGTAACTTAGGGTGGGCAGCTATCTTATTTTTTTGTATACAGATTTCTACAGATTGTATAATTTGTGGCAGAACAAAGTTTTAGGTGTAAATGTAGGGACTTAGATCTACGCACAACTCCTGGTAGGGACACAGACAGCATTCAGTTAATGGTGGCTGTGATTCTTTATTTCTAAGATGAGGGCATAGACTTATGGTCAAATAACATTATTGTTCATATACGGCTTCTAACATTTACTATTTATTTAGAGTGTTTCTGAACCAAATTTCATTACAGGTCATAAGACCTACCCTTACAGGGTTATGGTGACAGTTAAAATATAAAGAGAAAGTTTTCCTTTGTCTTCAAGATTTAATATGTTCCCTTAGAACAAAGAAAACATGAAAAAAAAACCCTGCTAAAATGACATTTCATGCAAGTATCAAATGGTTTATACTTCACAACACACTCTCTTATTAAAAGAACATATACATGGATAAGATGTCACAGGAAAAATTCACTTTCTATTATATTTGCTCATGTTGCTACTATTTTATGTTCCAGCACTTTAAATATTTTATAGCTATTTGGCCAAATAAAGTGTTACTAGGAAATAAAGCAGATCTATTGAAAGAGAACTTTAATAATGACACGGTAACATTAGGAACATCCTCAGAAGGACTCCTATACAAATCCGTAAATTAGAAAACAGATCAACATCATGTGACATTTGGGGAAAAAATGTCTCCTGAGGAATTTTACCTTAGTGAGGCGCCATGCTTCAGTAAGCTGTTGATATGATTGACTATCCAACTGAAGAGCCGCCCGTACAAAGTTTTCGCCATGGCATCTCGGACGTCAGTGGCTTTTTCTACGGTATTGGGTCGTATGATGGTTTCTCCTCTAGTGACCACACAGTGGGAGGTGAGAGCTTCTTGGAGCTCATCTGCCTGAATGCAAAGCAGAGAAGCAGCTAGAAGAAAGAAACAGAGGTGCTGTTAGAAAAAGTCACGGCCATGCAGTCACTTCCCATAGAATGAAAACGTCTCAGTCTACCTTCTTCCAATGACATAAAATAAATGTGGGAAGACTTCATAATGTAAAAATAAGTTCCTATACAGTAGTTGTCCTGGGTCTTCTTGATCATTTTTCTCTACTTGACTGGTCAAATGTAGGCTGCCGTATTATACAGCACAACCCAGACCGAACTGGCTGACAGCAGGGAAAACATTCGCACCAGCCAGTGGTTGTTTATGTAATGCCAAACACAGTTTCATTGAATTATGTTAAATAATGTAAAATTTAAATTATTCATTTAAATAAAGAATAGATTTGGAATAATTTCGATACCCATCATTACATACATATTTTTAAAATGCAGAAATTAATTGGAAGATTACTTAGACTTTAGGGATAAACCCAAACAAATGTATTTTATGTAACTTCTGCAATATTTAACCAAAAAAGCATAAACCTTATCTTGACATACATATATATATATGTACATAAATATATATATATGTATATATATATATTTAATCATACTACTTCTCAGTTATACATTTTAATTGCTGAAGTTTATTAAAATGTGATGCCTGGAACATTTATTTATATTTAATGATAAATATCACAGGGAATTTTAAATAAATAATATTTAAATTCAGTGGAGAAAACTCATTTTTGAATACAGTAATCATCTTTAACCCAAACTATTACATGACAGACTATTTTTTAAAATCAGTGGTTCTCCTTTCAAATTATTTTCTACATTTTGAACTTACTTTTAGCATTTGGGACAAGCTATTTCTTGGCTATGTGACTAGGATCATTGAACTTTACTTAAATAATTTTTTTTTTTTCAGGGATGCCTGGGTGGCTCAGTTGGTTAAGTATCTGGCTTCAGCTCGGGTCACGAGCCCAGGGTCCTGGGATTGAGTCCTACATTGAGCTCCTTGCTCAGTGGACAGCCTGCTTTTTTCTCTGCCTGCAGTTCCCCCTGCTTGTGTACTCTCTCTCTCTGACAAATAAATAAAATTTTAAAATCTTAAAAAAATTGAAAAAATATTTTTTTCAGACTGTGGAAGTAACACAAAGTCACTGCAGAAATCTTACCTTTGAAGTTAACATTCTGCATTTTTTTCCTTTAAGCATGCTTATTGCTGTTATCCTGAACATACATTTCATCTTAATAAAATATCTTAAGCATTTCTCATTTTGTTAAATATTGCTTATAAGTGATTTAATTTGTTATATAATATTCTGCTCTATGTCATAATATATAAACAATTTTTAAGTTGTTGGATGTTTAGGTCATTTCCATATGTTCATAATTATAAAGAATGCTGGGATAAATATTTGGGGCATGAAGCTGGGTTCTTGTATTATTGTCTTAGCATAAAGTGCCTAAGTTCAACAACTAGTCCAGAGTATATAAACATATGTAAGCCTTTTGATATATACTATTTAGCTGCTCTTTAGAATCTCTGAACCAATTACATTATTATCAGACAAGTAAAAAAACAGTAATTTCAATGCAATTTCATGGACACCACAGATTATTATTTTTTGAAAATAACCAATTTGATAGGAAAAAAATGCCTTCGTTTTTCAATTTGTTTTTAACTGACTCCTAGTGAAGCTAAATACTTTCTTCTCTTCATATTTTTTATTAGTGATTTGTGGTTTTATTTTATAAACAGCCTTTTGTCGTTGATATATTTGTCTTTTCCTAATCAGCTTAGAAGAGTTCTTCATAGCTCACACATGTTGCTTATATATGTGTTGGAAATATTTTCTCTCATTTTTCACTTGTATTGTAATTTCATTTATTTTTCTTTTGTTAGTATGAAAGTTTTTAATTTTTATGTAGTCAAATATCCATTAAAAAATCCTTTCTGCTTTTGCTTTTCTGCACATAAAATCCTTCAAGTCTTTTCTCATCTCAGAATTATATACATGTACTTTGCCTTGTGCTTTTATGATTTTTTGTATTTAAATTGATAAAGGTTTGGAATTTATTTTGGTATATGGTATATGACAAGAATTCAGACTCTTCAAATGGCTAGCCAGTTCACTGTCCCTACAGCACTGATTCCCTAGTGATTTTGTAATGCCATTTCCAGCAATTCTACCTGGATCTGTTTCTGAATAGTGTCTCCCATTGATTAATATGTCTATTTCTATTCCTACATTGTTCATTCATTCAACGTATATTTATTGAGTGTCTACTATATGCCAAGCATTCTACCTGGGAATATATTACTAAGTATAATACCTCATAAGACAGACTTCTAGTTTTGATCATCTTTATCCAGAAGGAATGGGAAACTAATCAAGAAATTTAAGTGGGAAGATAGAAGGAGAAGAGGGAGAGGAAGTACAAGGAGGGGGAGAGGGACACTGAGAGAACCCACTGCTACACGCACTCAGTGGTTTCTGAATGATTGTGGAGAATGGCCTGGAAAAGCTCAAGAGTTGATGTGAAGGGACAATCGGGAGGTCCCTTAGCTCAGGTGAGAGGTGATTTTGTCTTCAGTGAGAATGATGATAATGGAGATAAAGAGAAGTGGTTAGTTTTGAGAGATATTTATAGAACAGACAGAACAGATGCCTGATTGAAACAATGCACGTATAAATCCATCAGGAAACATGGCCTTGGTTTGCAGATAATTCCTTGCAACTTTAATTACAAACTATTTTAAGTAAGTCAGCCAAAATTTCTATTTTCCATGAATGGCTATTCCGGAAAGCACTTTAATTAATTTTAACTATATTCCCATTAATACTAACCTTCTGTGACCCATTTGACTGTCTTCTTCTATCCAGAAAAAGGTTCTCACTTATCAAAGTCATTTCTCAGTTTGGTAGTTTCCAAGTATATGCATATCTACAACACAGCTCTATTGTAAAAAATTCTATTCACTGCTGATAACTTTTCTAATTATAATCAGTGGTGAGATTTGAATCCATCATTGGAGTTTTTTCTTTTTCCCTTCCACTTCTGATAACTGAGAACTGCTGGGAGCTACAGATCAGCTCGGAGCTACTGGCTCACAGATGCCAAAAACTACTAGATTTACAGAACGAAAGGTCAGCCTGGGATTTAAGCAACCTGCAGCACATTGGCTAAAAGAAGGCCCAGATTTTTGTGGGCTGGAAGGAGCTCTATGGCTCAGAAAATCAATCAATAAATATCAGTCTAAAACCTTCTGTGCCAATTGACTTTATTTATATATGAAAAATCAGAGCAGGTTCCCAGGGCCATGCCAATCATTATATGCCAAACTCAGTCCTGCTGTATTACCAAGCTGGTCCCAGAGACACAGTGAGAGGGAGATGATAGGGATCTGGGGACAGGTTCAGGCCAGGATGCCTGGCATCTTGTCCCCTGAAATTACCCTAAAACATCTCATTCTGTTCCTCATTAAGTATAAATCAGAAAAAATACATATAAATAAAAATTTATATCATAATTCCTTAAGTTATGAATGAAATGTCTAAAAAATCTGGAACTATGGGGGCTTATGACCATATTAAAAATAAAAAAGTGTATATTGTAAATAAAAAAGCTATGTCACCACAAGATCAATGGGAAAACTTAAGTTATTGGAATAATTCATCAAACTTTGCTAGTTAGAGAAAAATGTTGATTTGAAGCAAATACCATGATGCACTTTTCTTATATAGAAAATGATCACAGGGGGCCTGGGTGGCTCAGTGGGTTAAGACTCTGCCTTCGGCTCAGGTCATGATCTCAGGGTCCTGGGATCCAGCCCTGCATTGGGCTCTCTGCTCAGCTGAGAGCCTTCTTCCCCCTCTCTCTCTCTGCCTACCTCTCTGCCTACTTGTGATCTCTCTCAGTCAGATAAATTAAAAAAATCTTTAAAAAAAAATAAAAAGAAAATGATTGTAAAATCAGTCAACCCAGGGTGAGTGAGTATAAAAACCACCCAGTATGAAAATAAATATACAAGTCTTTATTACTTATAAAGTGGTACAGATGCTAAATCTATAAAATAATAGCTTTTACTCTTTTCAGATCAGTTTACTAAATTTTAGTGATATTTTCTGTTTTTACAGTGAAACATCAATAGCTCCTAAAATAGGAAAGCCTAGTCTTGAGAAGAGTTCTCTACAATAATCAGTTAATTTGTAGGCATGAAGATCTGTTTCAAATATTGGCCTTTAAAAACTTCATTTTATGCAAATTGAATTGGAGTATTCTTTTTTAGGATTCCAGATAAGTACAACTGCCTGAGATTATCTTTATGAGACACTTACAGTATTCCATTAGGCGTTTTTCAAGAGTTCAGTTTTGAGCAGAAGATAGTAACACTCACAGTTCTCCAGAGCTGCATGATTGGAAATGTGGCTCTTGTCAATCTGGTGTTCAGTTGCCACGGAAGAAAACTCAATGTTGCCAACATTCAAGATTGCAGCCAGTATACTGTATATACTTCCAAGTTGCTGAAACATACCATACAAATGTTAGCATCACCCTCCCCTGGAGGACAGCAAGGCGGTGGCGATGGCTGGGGACAGAGCGGGCAAGAATCCCAAGGCTCCAGCACAAGGTCATTCTGCAGAGGATGATGTCAGCCTCTGAGACCCACGTAGGCTCAGTCTCCTTAGTCATTTTAGTATGAGAGGTGGGCATGGTGCCTTTTTGCCAGTGAGTGCTAAAAAAATATTTTATGAATGCAAATACCAGTAAAAAATAGAAACGAGGAGTTCCCCTAGGAGGAAGTAGAAATAATTGAATTCCTTAGGCCACAGATCAATCTATCTACGTGAAACTGAACTTCAGAACTTAATGTGGTCCTGTCCAGATGCTCCTTTCCCTTGAGGCATTCTTAAAAGTGACATTATATGTGTGGATAAATGAGAGTGAGGAAAGAGAAATCCAAAGAGCCCAGCACCCAAATCAAAGGATATGTGTGATTTAAGTTTAGGCATGAAAACTTTGGACAACAGTTTAGAGTTTATAGTGGTAAAACCCTTTTAAATAAGGTACATCAAAATACATCAGAAACACACCCACACCCACAACTCTTCTTGGAGGCACTGGAGGCATTTTGCCTATGGTCATTGTAGTTGTCATTCCAACTATGTTCAAGGTGTGGTAAAGTATAGGAAAGAGACAAAATCCTTTGTTGTCTTATGTTGCTGCCTTGATTCTAACTCAGCTCCTACACTTATCAGAAATGATTATCCCATCTGCTCCAACATCCCAATTCATGATAAAAACTATCATGAAAAAATGAAAAAACTATCATGAAAACTATATGAAAAAAAAAATCTTCAGGGATATTTATTCATTCATATATAACATATATATGAGTACAGATTAAATGAATATATAAACATTAAAATAAATATATTTATTGAATGACTGTACAGACATATCTTCGACTATCTGTGTTCTCACTTATCTGGTGCAACATATACTTTATGCCAGGCCTGCTCTAGTCACAGGGGTTTCAGCAGAGGCATGACGAAGACATTTGTTTCCTTGGGGTGTTCAGGCAATGAGAAGGCCGACATTAAGAAAACAAACAAAGAGATGAACATGACATTTTCAGTAACTAAATGGGCTGTGAAGGAAATAAAATGTAGAGGAGTGAGAGTGACTGGGGAGGGCAGGGAGGGCCTTTTGAGGTGGGGAGGTTAGAGAAGGCAGTCCTTTGGGAAGCAGAGACCTGGATGACAAGGGAATCGGCCAGGAAAGAACTGGAATCAGACTGTTCCAGGCAGAGGGGACAGCAAGGACAAGAGCCTGCTTTGCAGAAAGAAGGCCAGAGTGGGGCTGGAGGACAGCGAGTAAGGGGCAGGGATGTGGGTGTGATAGGGGCCACGATGGTGAGCTTGGACAAGACCAGCCAGGCCCTCTGTGCCACGAGAAAGGGTGTGAGTTTCATTCAAAGGGCCATGGAGAGCCACTAGAGATTCCAAAGTAGGCAGCTGTGATATTTGAAACATGACTCTGCCAGGATGTGGAAATGAACGGATTGGAGGCAGATGGAAAAGTAGAATGGGCAGGAGGCTAGGGAGAGGTGGTGGCTTGGACTAGGACAGTGGCAGAGATGGAAAGCAGAAGACGGACTGGGGCATATTTTGGGAGTAGAGCAGTAAATATGCTGATGGGCTGGTGTGAATCAATTTTCTAAGAAAATTCTCTTGGTAAGGAATTTCCATTTGTAAAATGCATAACTTGTAAAGAACCAGCCAGCGTGGGCTTCAGTGGCACGTGGAGAGTTATACAGAACCTCTGACATCCTGCTCTAGTTCTCACGAGGCAACGACAGACCTTGTGGATAATCTACACCAGGAATACTTCATAAATAGGTTGTTGAAAACTATGTTCCTTCGACACTCCGACACTGTGTGTATTTGTGAATTAGGGACTGGAAAGTTCAGATGCGTCCATTCTAAAGTCATATTTGAACAGTGTTTAGAGATCCACAATAGAGAATCACATGCTGAATCGATGGACATACAATTCTTATTCAGCTGCTGAGAAGGGTTGAGTAATCCTCCCAGGCTGGGGCTCTCCTTGATATCCTATAATTGCAGTATCCATTTGGATTAAAGTTGGAGGCAAAAAATCAGGGCCCTGGCTCAGTTTGGCTTGACAGCTAGCTTGATGGGGCTCAAAAGGGCCTGACCTCAGGTATAGGTATGACCTTGACCAAGCACTTGGGTTATTCATGGTACAAAGACTAATCATCTCTGATGTTGGTCACCCTAAGGAATTCAAAACAATTTTTGTTTGATGGTTAACAATAATAAGCAAAAGAACACTTTCCCATATAAAACTACCGAGGCAATCTAACAACTTTCCATGGGCTTTGAATGAGCTGAGTTTTGAATCCTGACTCCTAGCCCATTGAATGTGCTATACCTTCCCACGGAGGATGAGTGGCTTGCAGGAAAAGTGTGCTCTCCAAGTGCTCTGCAGAGTCTGGAAAACACTCACAATCCCTTCTACCCACTCTACCTCCTGCTGTACAGCTCTGTCGGTCCTTGAGGGAGCAGGACTGCTGTTGCTTTTGCTATATTTGCAAGGACAAACACAGTTCTGGTTTGCTAGAGAGTCAGACCTTCATGGTTCTGATGCATCAGGCTTGAGCCTCTTCCACTGCTGCTCTGGACATTTCTGCTCTCTGTGCTTGTACACTAGGCTGGTCTGCTAGGCAGACAGCAAACCAAAACTATGTGTGTGGGCAAGGTCACTTTCCTCTCTACGCCAAGTTAATCTGCCCAAGGCAAAAGAATTCTGTTAAAAGGACTCTCCCTCTTCCAGAAGTTTACTGTCCTACCCCTCTTATTCAGTCATCCACCTACCCATTCATTCATTCATCCGTCTTCTTTTGACTATTTATTAATCATTATGGGAGATACTGGGTATATACCGAGAAATAAGAATAATTTCTGCTCTCAAGTACTTTACATGTTCCTAGAACCAAAGGGCATGGATCATTTCCTATACTGAATTTCTATATGGGTCATGTCTACTTTCTGTATTTTATTATAGTTTTAAAAAAATTAATAGGCTTTATTTTTAGAGTAGTTTTCGGTTCACAACAAAACTGAGTGGAAGTGCATAGTTCCTATGTAGCCCCTGTCCCCCTGGCTCCACACACACAGCTTCCTCCATTATCAATATCCTGCATTAGAGCGATACATATGTCATAATCAATGAACCACACTGACACATCATTATCACTCAAAGTCCACAGTTTATGTTAGCGTTCACTATTGGTTTTGTACATTCTCTGGGTTTTTACAAAGGTATTATGACACATTTCTACCATTAGAGAAATTCCATTACCCCAAAAGTTCTCTGTGCTCTGCCTGCTTATCTCTCTTTCTCACAATCTCTAACCACCACTGGTCTTTTACTGTCTCCATGGTTTTGCCTTTTCCAGAATGTCATATAGTTGGGATCCTACAGTATACAGCCTTTTCAGATTGGCTTCTTCCATCCAGTAATGTGTATTTAAGGTTCCTCCATGTCTTTTCATGGCTTGATAGCCCAGTTCTTTTTTTTTTTTTTTTAAAGATTTTATTTATTTATTTGACAGACAGAGATTACAAGCAGGCAGAGAGAAAGGAGGAAGCAGGCTCCCCACTGAGCAGAGAGCCCGATGTGGGGCTTGATCCCAGGACCCTGGGATCATGACCTGAGCTGAAGACAGAGGCTTTAACCCACTAAGCCACCCAGGTGCCCTGAGCCCAGTTCTTTTTAGTGCTGAATAATATCCCATTATTGGGATGTACCATAATTTATTTATCCATTCACCCACTGAACTTGACATCGCAATTACTTCAAGTTTTGGCGATCAGGAATAAAGCTTCTATAAACATTAGTGCACAGGTTTTTGTGTGGACATACGTTTTCAATTCCTTTGGGTAAATACCAAGGTCCTTGATTGCTGGATCACATGGTGAGAGCAGGAGAACTCTTCCCATGGAGAATGTCACGTGAAGAACTTTTTTTTTTTTAAGATTTTTATTTTTAAGTCATCTCTACACCCAATGTGGGGCTCAAACTCATAACCCTCATAACCCTGAGATCAAGAATCACATGTTCTACTGACTGAGCCACCCAGGCGCCCTCTGCCATGTGAAGAAGAAGACAGAAATCAAGGTGAGGCATCTGCAGTCCGAGAATCACTAAGGATTGCCAGGGAATCACCAGAAAGTAGGGAAGAGGCATGGATCGTCCCTCACAGCCCTTAGAAGAAACCAACCTTGTCTCAAACTTCTCAGCTCTAGAACTGTGAGGAAATACATTTCTGTTGTTTAAGTCACCCAGTCTGTGGTACACTGTTATGGCAGCCCCAGCAAAGAAATATAGTATCAATGCTTTTTTGTTGCATTAATGAATAAGATATATAGCCGTGGCATAAGCAACGTGTTTATCCTTAACTGTTTAAAACGCTTAAGGGAAATATCAAAGACATAGTAAGAAATATCAAAGACGTAGTAAGACAATTACTTTTGTGACTTGAATGTAAATACTTACTTGATAGTACACTTATAATTTTAATTTGAAAAGCATAACATAATTTGATTGCAAATTATTTTCAAATGTATAAGATAACTTGATCTACTACATTAGTAATTTTGAATTATTATATTTTCAGGGCTAATAAATTTAAGTGTTTAGGAAGATTTAGTTAAATGATCAGGAAGTTTAGAAAGTCCTTATCATTCTTTGTAAGACTGCTGTGTCGTCATTCAGAATATTTGAAAGACTGAGATGCACTAAATTTTTATCTGGTTTCAGGGATTTAAAGAACTTAATGATGTCGGTTTAGGACAACTTAAGGTTCTCTTTATGAGTTAAGTGAACAAAGTTACTGAATGTTGTTTCTATTCTTATAGAAACACTGTTAGATGCACAAATTCAAACAAAAGATGTGTCAAGAGAATGAGAAGACAAGCTCCAGATTGGAAGAAAA